AAGTAGCTGGGACTATCGGGGTGTGCCACCATGCCTGGCTAATTTATTTTTTTGAGACAGTGTGTCACTCTGTCACCAGGCTGGAGTACAGTGGGGTGATTTTGCCTCTCTACAACCTCCGCCTTCCAGGCTCAAGCAATTCTCACGACAATTCTCATGCCCCAGCCTCCTGAGTAGCTGGGACTACAGGAATGTACCACCATGCCCAGCTATTTTGTATTTTTAGTAGAGACAGGGTTTTGCCATGTTGTCAGGCTGGTCTCGAACTCCTGGTCTCAAGTTCATCTAACCACCTCAGCCTCTCAAAGTGCTGTGCCTGGCTTTTTTATTTATCTTTTTTTAATAGAGAAGGGGTCTTGTTGACCAGGATGGTTTTGAACTCCTGGGCTCAAGTGATCCTCCTGCCTCAGCCTCCCAAAATGCTGGGATTATAGGCATAAGCCACTATAACCAACAAAGGCAGGCTGGCTTTGAGCAACAGGAGTTTTATTACTTGTCACAAATGAAGCACTGGGCATAGTCTCCAAAGCAGGAAAGTGACAGGAGGGTTTTATGTGGTGGCAGAGGGAAGAGGGTATGTCATTGCATATAGAAGGGTTGCAGTTGTGCAGATACAGTGAGTCGTTATTTCAGCACACAAGTCACATGGTATGGTAATGATGTTATAGCATCTCCCAGGGTAGAGATGTTGGCATGGTAATGAGGAATGTACACTGGGATCCATCTGTAAATTGCTGGGGTCTGTCACGAGCTGGTTTAAACCAGCTAGCTGGCTGCATTCCACACAGTGTTTAGGGAAAAAAGTGATTACTCAAGCTGATTGTACTCCTATAATCCCTGGAGACCCTTCCTATCTGCTTCACAGCCCCACCCAACCCTCTGCATCTCTTTGGCTGACAAGTGTAGACATTTGATATTCTGGTCCCTGATTTAAGCCCTCAATGATTTATGTGCAAATGTTAATACTTTTCCATTGTGCATTTTTTCCTACCTTATCACTGATCATATTAGTGGTTTAAGAAACCAGCACTAAACTAGGTATGCTTTCTAAAAACTTGTTTTTATCAGTTTCTCCATCTAAATAGGTAGTGAAAAAGTTCTTGATTATGTTCAAATTAAAAGACTGCTATATATAGATATGGCAGTGTCACAGATACTGGAGGTGGGAGAGACAGTAAAAAGCTGGAGAGGTGAATCTTTGGAACTCTATCATTGTGATGGGTCTTCCTTTGCAGGGGTCAGAATGTCTCAGTTCTTTTGAAGTCCCATGAAATTCAGGGACTCCATCCAAGGAAAAACACAGGATCTTGCAGGAAATTTCTGGGTTTTTTCACATCACTGGTAGTCCATGAACCCCAGGTTGACAATTTTTGCTCTACCAGGACAAACAGTATGTTTGTGAAGATACACGATTCATTTATTTCAATATTATGTGCCAGGGACTATGACTACACTAATTTATAATTTTAAACAAGAAACATGCTCCCTTGTCCTCATAGAGGTTAAAAGTAGCATGGATACAGAAATTAGACAAATCACCAAATACATGTTTACAATTTGTGTTAGTGTTATGAAAGAATATGGCAAATTGAAAGTGTGTAACAGAACTAATTTAAATGGGGGTTAGAGAAAGCTTCAGGGAACATTAAAGCTGAGACCTGCAGTTCTTAGTTAAAAGTTTGGAAATGAGTATTGTTAGGTCCAGGGAACAACCAAGACCCAGAGGAAAGAGTTCTGCCACATTCAAGGAAATGAAAATGCCAAAGCCAAGAGAAAAAAATACGGAGCTCCGAACCAGGTGTGGAAACTGTAATTTGGAAGCAAGAGGAATGAGTACAACTGTGAAAATCAGTGCTAAGGGCAGACAAGATGAGAACTGAAAACTAGACAATGGATTACATAGAGATCACTGATGATTTTTGTAAAAGCTATTTGATGGATTGATGGGGCCAGATGCCAAATTTCAGTGCATCTGAAAAGCACAGAAGAGATTAAGTAGAGACAGTTAAGTGCAGATAAGAACTTAAATGTGAAGCAATGATGAAAATAGGTTTGGGGTTGGGCACAGTGGCTCACGCCTGTAATCCCAGCACTTTGGGAGGCCGAGGCGGGCGGATTGCCTGAGGTCAGGAATTCAAGACCAGCCTGGTTGGCATGCAGAAACCCCATCTCTACTAAAAATACAAAAATTAGCCAGGCATGGTGGTGGGTGCCTGTAATTCCAGCTACTCAAGAGGCAGAGACAAGAGAATTGCTTGAACCCAGGAGGTGGAAGTTGCAGTGAGCTGAGATCACACTGTTGCACTCCAGCCTGGGAAACAAGAGCAAAACTCCATCTCAAAAAGAAAAAAAGAAAAAGGGTTGGTAGCTAAAGGATACCAAGGTATTTGCTACAAGTAGAGGTAGAATTAAGGACCGTACTTTGTATAAAATAGGAGATACGGGAGATGCTGGAGAATCTGTGAAAGTCGGAGGAGAGGCTGAAGACTCAGGAAGGTGAGAATAACTGAATGGGTGACGTGCTTGAGAAGCCTGGAGTAGATAGGATCACAGAAATAAAGGACAATACAAATGAAGATAAACTTGAAAATTTAGTGATGGGAAGATGAGGAAGCTTCCATATCAAGTCATTTAATGTATTAAGAATGAGGTTTCTACCAGAGAGGTCAGAGGTTTGAGGAGAGTGAAGAAGGCTGACATCATTTTGAGGGAGATGAGAGACCAAACTTTTTAGGGAAACATTAAAATTGTAGGACCATTCTGGGCCTTATGAACTTGGAGATTATGGTTTCATAGTGCTGTGATTTTTGAGGCTTTTCCTCAGCCATGTTTTGCTATAATGTATATATGAATGTTGTGGTTTCAGGTATAGTTATTTTCCAGCTACAGAGATATGTAAGATACATAAAAAGAACTGAATGAGTCAGGCATGGTGGCTCACGCCTCTAATCCCAACATTTTGAGAGGCTGAAGTGGGAGGATCACTTGAACCTAGGAGGTTGAAGCTGCAGTAGTCATGATTGCACCACTGCATTCCAGCCTGGGTGACAGAGTTCAAAAAAAGAATGAAGGATGTCATAGAAAAAATACAATATAAAGAAAAGTACAGAAATGACAGTGATGAGCTATAGGTGGCTTGAGTCGTCTGGATTTTAATCACGTAAGTTAAATAAGCTGGAAGATTATTATTATTATTTTAAACAAATATCTCATTCTGTAGCCCAGGCTACAGTGCAGTGGCACAGTCTCAGCTCACTGCAATCTCCGCCTCCTAGGCTCAAGTGATCCTCCCACCTCAGCTTCCTGAGTAGTTGGGAGTATAGGTGTATACCACCACACCTGGTAATTTTTGTATTTTTTTGTAGAGGTGGTATTTCACCAGTTGCAGACTGGTCTTGAACTCCTGGACTCAAGCAATCCAACCACCTCAGCCTCCCAGAGTGCTAGGATTGTATGTGTGAGCCACTGTACTTGGCCTATTTTTTTTTTTAATGTTTGAAACCAGAAGAAATTGAAGAGTTTTTTAAGCAAATGTAAACTGTCCAAATTTGAGCCATATTGTTCATTTAAATCACAAGAAAAAATGAATTGATTCTATAAAATACATACTTTTAATGGGCATAGGAAGCTGGGCGTGGTGGTTCACCCTTGTAACCCCAGCACTTTGGAAGACCGAAGGAGGCAGATCACCTGAGGTCAGGAGTTCAAGAGCAGCCTGACCAACATGAAAAAAACCCCTTCTCTACTAAAAATACAAAATTAGCTGGGCATGGTGGCACATGCCTGTAATTCCAGCTATTCAGGAGGCTGAAGCAGGAGAACTGCTTGAAACTGGGAGGCAGAGATGGCAGTGAGCCCAGATTGCACCAGTGCCACTCCAGCCTAGGCAACAAGCACAAAACTCCATCTTAAAACTTAAAAAAAAAAAAGAGGCATAGAAATTGCAAGATTAAGGCCAGGTGCAGTGGCTCACACCTGTAATCCTGGCCCTCTTGAGATGCCGAGGTGGGTGGATCACCTGAGGTCAGGGGTTCGAGACCAGACTGGCCAACATAGTGAAACCCCGTCTCTACTTAAAATACAAAAAAATTAGCTGGGGATGGTGGCATGTGCCTGTAATCCCAGCTAACTGGGAGGCTAAGGCAAGAGAATCACTTGAACCTGGAAGGCAGAGGTTGCAGTGAGACGAGAAAGCACCATTGCACTCCAGCCTGGACAACAGAGTGAGACTCTGTCTCAAAAAAAAAAAAAAAAAAAAGTAAGGGAAGTGTAACATTAGAATTTAAGAAAACTAGAATATACACTTCAGGGCAGAGATTTGTTTTTACTCATATGTAGCCTGAACTCCAAAAACAGCTCAATTTTTAATTATGGTACTAGCAATTGAAAACCAAAATGGCACTTTGAAATTGATATATAACCCTTTTGCTGTGATGGCTTTGTTTCAGAGCTATTTATGAAGAAATTGACACTCACCAGCACAAAGGAGCTCAAAATCATGTTGACTGAGGTAAAAACTTCAACTTACACAACTTAATTCCATATTACAAATAATTTCAGTATAATTGTCACTTTACATATTTATATTTTGTAAGGGCCATCTGAGTCTGACACTTTGAAAGATGAGTTCCCCTGAATCACTCAAATTATGGGGAACCATTATTCACTAATGAAATTCATTCTTTGTGCTTCTGTCATCTGTAAATAATAAGGCTTGGGAATGCATTTGTTACTTTATGGTACAGAAATATTAGTGCTAACAAAAACAGATGAACAATAGAAGCAGCACTGAAATCAGGCATTTGTCTTTCATGTGCAGTTAATACTTGTTAACTGGTACCAGTAGACCCATTTACTGTTAACTCCTCCAAATAGGTCTTGAGTTTTTCCTATTTTCAGCACTACTGATCCCATGTATTTACTATTTAATGGTCACCAATAAACTGTTAAACTTATTTATTCCTCTTATACCCTCCCCTATGGAAGAAGCACATTCTTACCTTTTTTCTACTAGACTGTGGCTCTCCAGCCTCCCAGTAGAGACAAGTACGAGAGTTATCAAGAAATGGGGAAAGAGAAGGACAGGATGAATACTGGCCATTTTCTTCTCTCTTCTAGAAGAAAGAGGATGATCACCTCACTAGCCACATCAAAGGTGCCAACTCTCTAAAGAGTAAACTCTGTGCAGCTTTGAGGCCTGGAAGACAATACCTACCTACCAACATGTCAAAGCCACAGTGGAGAATTTCTGCTATAATGAAGATTAAACAGAAGAATAACAGTTCCAGGATAACAGTGATTCCTGACAACAGCGTGAGATTTCAGCAGAACTTGTTTGGAACAAATACTCAACTTAAAACTTTAGCAGAAAAAAAATTACTTAGTCCTTAGGCCAACCAATTTAACTGCAGTGTCATATGTTTCACAGACCTTCCTACATTTACAAATCATCACACAGCTGTGGATAAGAGATTATTTTACTATAAAATAATTCTGAATAGATGAAAGACTAAAATGTGAGAAATGGAATGTATTATTCTGGAAGAATAAATACTGAGTGCCTTCATTTAACTAAAGTTGAATGTCAATTTACACTTCTTTATAAATAATCCTCTAGTTTAGAATTATAAATTGTTAAAGGCTTGATGATTGTCATTTAATTATATTTTAGGTGTCCTGAACAGGTCACTAGACTCTGCATTGGGTGGCCTTTTTGATTCTTTGTAATGCTAAATAGTCTTTTCTCTCTTTTTACTATAACTTAACATTTCTATTTGGAAAACAGACAACTGGAAAATATTCAGAATAAGTTTTACATTTGATGAAAAATAAATCTCTATTAAAATAATTTAATACATCTTTTTTTTTTTTTTTTTTTTACAAAGTTTGTTCCCAGAAGAACTTCTGATGTCAGTAAATCACAATCCCACCTGTACATTTTAACATTCATGGACTTCTAATGATGATGGTAAAAGCTAGCAGCCTAGTAGATATACTTATTTTATTTCAATTTCATGATAGGACAATTTCAAAGTAATTATTCAGAACTCTGAATATAAAATAGCCCTAGATCTTAAAGGACAAAAAGTCAAATTTGAAGTACGAATTTAAATCTTTGGACAAGAGTTAGGGCTTAGTGACTCCTCTTCTACTTTGAGCTTTTAAAATACTGACTGTTCAAAATAGCAACCAACTCTTTTAGACATAATAATAAACATGTTCAAAAGTTCTGGCCTATGACTTAAAACAAATAACCCTGGGCATACATTTTTGAAAACATTCTCAGATTCATTGCTATAATTATGAAGAGTTAATACTCTAGAAGGGAACTATAGACAAGCTGAACCATTAAATCCATGCCTGCATATTTAAAAAACAAAGCGGCTTATTTTAACACTATCAAACTCTTCAGTATGGGATTGAATAGTCAGTCATCTATTCTAGCTAGACATGTGGGTTTCTTATGATAAAAGCTGAACCTGTTCTCTCAATTTCAAGTGAAATAAATTAGTTGAGGAAAAAAATAGCTATTTAAAATATAAGGCTTCAAATTATTGTATAATATTTCTCCTCTGAGAAGGCAGGATACATGATTTTCCCAAAACCACAACTTTGAAGGAAGACTTAGTTGCTGACTTCAATTATATCCTGGAACTGGCAAATTTTGCCCTTCTTTTGCTTCAAAAAAAGTGTAAGAAAGAGTGATAACATCAACCTTAATCATTCTTGGATCTTCGGCAAATTCAGGATCAATGTAGAAAAACACTGGCATATCTACTTCCTCTTGGGGATTAAGCCTTTGTTCTTCAAAACAGAAGCACTAGAAGTTATAAGAAGATTTTGTTTTAATAACATTTCTATTCTCTTATTACATAACAGAAACTAATACAGTGCATTTTTCTTAGCATTCCAGTACACTTCTTGACTTTAATAAGCATACTGTTAAATACATAGTTCTGTGATAAAATAAGAGCATCTTTTCATCTCAATGAGTTCTGCTTTAAGGATCAAGAACAAATTCTAATCTTAAAAGCAGATGTCCATTTGGTTTGGTTCTCGATCTCTGCATAGCAAGTATAGATAACAAAGAAAAATAGCTTGATGTTTAGAAGAAATTAGTTTTCAGAAACCACAAGATCTATGAAAACACTAAGTTTCATGTACCTTTATCATATTTTGTAAAGTTTATATTTTGCTGTACCTGTATTTTATTGAAATACTGTCCAGCTTCAAATGGAACAACATTGTATGTAGAAATTCCAATTACTGGTTTGTCAGTAGGATTCTTAGCTTTGTAAAATGCCAGTGCAGTCTCTCCTGGAACCACCTGTTTTAAACGATATAAATTATCAATACTTTAAATCTCACACAGTTCCTCTTTTTCCTGCTAAATTAGTCTAATTATTTTGCCTATTCATCAGACCATAATACCTAATCTAATGCAGGGTTCAGCAAAATAAATTGTGAGTATTACCCACAAACGTATCTGACTTTAACTTGCATATGTCAATGAAGAACCAATGTTCTAATATCCATAATGAGTTATGAATTGTCCTCTTGTATATTTGAAGTCTTCAAGGAATAATCTGCAAATTACATTATTTAAAATGTGTCCAATCCAATCATATCACAGCCCAAGCCCAACTTTTCTGTAACACTTATACCTGAAAGTCATGATTGGCTAGTTTTTAAGAAAGATACCAACATTAAACTTACCTTAAAACCATAATAAAACTGACTGACTAGAACCTTTATTATGCCAAAAAGAGTTAATACTTTGTTTGGAGAAAATGAGAAGATAGCAAAGCTTAAAATTTCCAAAGGATATTCTGTCACTTGTACCAATTCAGCCACTAATACCTTGTATACGACCATGTAATTGGATAATATTCATAATCATAACCTATAAAATCTTTAATTATTAAAGAGATTCAGTCATGTTTACTAAAAACTGGGCAAGCACTAATATTTATAAGGCTTTTCCATTATGAGTTGAAATTAACTCCACTGGTTAATCCTCAGTTAATAAGGTATCAGTTAAAATCTTCCCAAGATTACAGTTGGTTAAAATTTTAGGAAAGCTTTTAGGACAGTCTCACTTAGTCTCGCTGGAGTATAATATAACTATTTACTATTTATTGATTACTTCAAAGGCCCTCGATTTTTTTTCTTTTCAAAGGACAGGGATACCTTTTATATAAATCAGTAAACTACTCATTGTAACCAATGATTTTCCTATGTCTTCTATGCCAGAGGAAGTCAGGAAGCTATATGGCCTGACAGTTACTGCTACTCCCAACGATTTCACTCATCTAAACTTCATTTCAAAATACAGAAAGGTTCCATTACTATCAATTTTTTTATTCCCACAGACTACTTTTTGATAGTGACTTACACCTAATGTAACAGAATTTATATGTTAACTTTTAAGTTACATGATAGTAAAAGTCAGTTTGGAACAAGGGAAAATGTCATGTTTTATTAGAATTGCATTGTTAAATGTAGTCCTCTGACAGTTTGATTAAAAAAAAAGGAATTTACATTAATAAAGTAATCTTTTAATGACTGATTAGTCACTTACAAATATTTCTGTTTGCTGAGGTCTAAAATTCCACTGGAGACTTGCATGCACATCTGCATTAAACGTAACTTTAATGATTCGATTCTTAACAGGCACCATGTTTTCAATCTGGTCTGATGCATGACCTGCAACTACTGATCCTCCAAGTCCAGTAGTCTAGAAAAAGATACCAAACATGTTAAACAATACTTTTCGGTGTTGATGATCTATTTATTTGATAAAAAGTTTAAAAACAATTTAGTATTAACAATTCATCTGGAGCCAACTTTACATACTAACCATTTGTGTAACCATGTCAAGATTCTGACCACTTTTGGGATGTCATGAGCCTGTATTTGTTAAAGTCATTCCTATTTTTCAGCAATCCTTTGGTTAGCTGGCATGGTCACAAATGAGTCATCTGGGAAAAGCAGATTCACTAGATAAGGGAACTATTGTCACTTACAGTAGAACTCACAATTTCCAGCCAAGCCATTTATAAAGAACACATTTCCCTTTATTGCTAGCATATTAACTACTAGTCATTATTAGAAATAAAATGTACCCATGACTTCAATTTCATTGAAAATACTTAAATAATTCAATTTTTCCATATTCTTGACTGGTCCTTTTCCATATCACAGCTTCTGTAATCCAAATTAGATTGCAGCTTCACTTCTATTAATATATTCTGCTTTTCTAAGGCATCATAAGTATTTTCCCATGTTGGTTATGTTTTTGGATCTTTCCCTGTATAGTAGAGCTTTTATATAAATCACTAATCAGAGCACCTAATCCCTAATGCCACAGAATCAAATAATCATAGGGCATCAAGAGTATTTGTGTCTGACACTTCATTTATTCATGATAGTTATTTCCTTGCCATCAGGTACTTTTAAAGAAAAAGCCCTTACGTCCAAGGTCATCTTTCTTCTGATACTTGAGGTTGCCAGAATTCTGATTTCCAGATAATTTGCCTGTTACTATGCTAGGGGAAAAAAAACACAAAAAACAAATTTGAGGCTAGGGGATAACTCCCAGCAAGACACAGTGTTAGCATCTTCTGTTTGTCACAAGTCAACTAACTTCATTCAACTGCCATGCAACATTACTGAATTACATTGCATCTCTAAAAGATGCATCAGAGGGCAAGCCTTTATCCTTGTATATCCTTCTGCCTGCGTGCTATAATGTTTAAGATGTAACTCCTTTTCCTGAAGAATTTAAGTCACTTGAATAAAAATATGTTTAAGTGTCCTCCCTTAATAAAGATTCCCTGATATATTCTTTGAACATGAGTTCCTCCAGTTTCTAAGTTCAATGCCTAGAGAAAGTAAAGTAGACAAGAACACTAGAAAAGAGAACTAAAAAGATGTCCTGGTCTCTAGTCTAGTTGTGCTACTAACTAGCTCTAAGAACTTAACAGACTACAAATTACATTTGCCTTCCTCACCTATGACTGCACGTGGACTCATTTCACATACAATATTATCAGTTATTTCAGTTTGGGACACGGTTTCTCAATCTTGGCACTATGTACATTTTGAGCTGAATAATTTATTTGGGGGTGGGGCAGTGCCTTATTGGTTATTTAGTAGCATTCCTAGACTCTACCTATTAGATGCCAGTAGCACCCTATACCCCCCACCTTCCACGTTGTGACAACCAAAAATGTCTTCAGACATCGCTAAATGTTCCCTAAGGGATAAAAATCACTCCTCCAGCCGCCGGTGGTTTGAGAAGGATCCAGATTTGCTGATTTGGTTCAGTTATGCTCATGACTTAACTAACTGGTAGTTTTAGAATTCATGCTTGGGCCTGGCCTCTGATGAAAAGTAATTCACATTCTATACTCATCCTCAGAAATCAACTATTGCACATTTCCACATAAATGCTGGCATTAGAAGACTATGCCAGAAAAGAAAAGTCCTTTTGTCTTCTGCTGTTTCATCATCTAAAAGAAACGTAAATTGATCTTCCCAGCCTGGGCATGGTGGCTCACGCCTGCAGTCCCAGCCAAGGCAGGAGGATTGCTTGAGCCCAGCCTAAGCAACATAGGGAGACCTCGCCTCTACAAATTTAAATAAATACACGCACGCGCACACACACACATAAGAGCGAACTCCAGCTAAGAATATCAGTCATGGTGTTAAAATAGCAATTTCCAAACTTTCCTGCATATTGGAATCACCTAAAATATACTTGACAATTACTGATGCCTGGTTCCCCCTCTGGTATTGTGATAAAATAAATAATGTGTGTGGATTTTTAGCAGCTCTCCAGGTGATTCCCAATGTTGCTGTACAACGAATTTTAGGAGCCACTCTTTTAAACACATTGAATGAACACAATGTGTAGCTCTTGTGGAATGAATTTTAAACCGAAATTCTTGTCCCTATCCTAGGCTTCCTAACCAGAATCTCTGGGGTAGGGGATCCCTGGAACGTGTATTTAACGTTAAGCTCCACGGGTGATCCTAATGCCCAGCCAAAGTTGCAAATTACTAGCTAAGAACAAAGAAGAATCTATGAAATACATGAAACTTGACCTTGCCAGTGGTTCTCAAAACTTGGCCTCAAAATCAACTATATAGGACTTACTAAAACTAAAATATAGATTGCTGGTTCCACCCCCCGTGTTTCTGACTCAGTCCTGGAGTAGGGCTCTAGAATTTGCACTTTTAACAGGTTCCCAGGTGATGCTGATGCTGCTGGTCTTGGGCGCCAAACTCCCAGAACCGCTGCAGTGTACTTAACAGAGTCCAGGTTAAGTACATTACGGTTACATATTAACAGGGGCAGGGTGAGAGCTCCTCAAAGGATTAATTTATGCTCCAATTTCCAGAGTTACACCCTCTTGGAAATCACATGTGGTCTACAGAGTGAATGTATGAATGATACACATTTTAAAAGTGTGTGTGCGCAGGAAGATAAGGCTGCGGACCTTTCTGGTGAGATGCAGCTCATACATCAGGGAGTTGCACTCCGCAGCGTGGAAAAAGCATCACCACTGAGAATTCCGTGCTACCTGCAGTTTTGCCACCAATGTCTTTGGTGACTTTTGGGTGTTAAGTGGCTGTTTTGAACCTCTCTCCTTTTAGGTAGATAATATGGGATACCTCTTCCACCAACGATCCGCAGAGCGAGGGATGTCCCGGGCTTTGTCCTGCAACCCCACCTCTCGCGCCGCGCCACTACGCGGGCAACGCCGACCCTACCTGGCAGTAGAGCCGATAAAGGGGTACGGCGGCGTAGGCCGCCCCCAGCATGCCCACGGCGACCGCGACCACGTAAGTGAGGACCGTCTTGTTCCGCCGCCGCCATTCCTCCTCCTGCGCGCGCCTGAAAGAGTTCGAGCTCTTAGGCCGCCACAGCGGCTGCACTGCCGGGTCCCTGGCTCCAAGGTTGCAGCGCTTCCATGTCCCCAGCAGCCTCAGTCCTCTCTCGGCACCTCCCGTCCCATTCCACTCTGGCCTAAGAAACGGCTCTACCGTCTCTGCAGGCCTGGCTGCAGACCCACGGCGAAGCGAGCGCCAGCCACAGAAAAAGAGGCGCCTCCATGCCGGATGCCAGACCCCACCCATAACCCCCAGAACGAACACCCACCCGCCTCTCAGGGACGCGCAGTTAAATCTCGCGACGCGTAATTTGTATCGCGAGATCTGGGCCGAGCCTGCCGCCGCTTTGGCTACCAGGCTCCTCCGGTGGCAGCGCCTAGCGGGCTACGGAGGCCGGGTTGCTAGATTATGGGTAAGTTTGCGTTTTGCTCTGTGACTGTTCCTCTCACTTCGCTTCCCGCCGGGGCGTCTCCAACGCTTAGGAAAACGCGTTTCGCTGGTCTGCGTGCCAGCTTGCCATCACTTGGGGTTGTGCCTTTGGTCTTTCTGAACTCCTCGCCAGCCTTTGTCTCGACCCAGCAGCCCTGGCGGCGCTCTCCCGCGGTCTTTTCTCTCCTGGGGTCCCCTGGTCGCGGGCTCTTGTGCTTACTACCCTCGACTTGGTTCAGGGATCACCCCCTCTCTCAGGAAGCCTTGCTGAGTTAGCCGCAGACCTCTTGGACACCCACGACGCCTGCATTTCCTCAGCCCGTGGGCAGTCGGCTTCCCCCGCTCTGCGGCCCCTTTGCAACTTGCCCGGTGGAAATCCCCGCAGCTGGAGCGGGAGGGAGGCTGTCAAGCTGAAGTTTGTTCGGGAGACAGTGACCAAGATAGGAGGAAAGGAGAGACTGAAAGAAAAGAACCCCTTGGGGCGATGTCATAGCTTTCTTCGGTTGTCCCACAGGACGAGCTCGAGGGGAGCAGACAGCGTAGCGGATTTTACTGTCATAGAAGGAAGCGTCTTTCTAGAAACTCTGCGAGAGCAGTTAAGAGCTCAGCTCCTGAGGCTAGGCGGTTCTGGATGTTTACCCGGCTCCTAGGCCAGTGACTTGTCCTCTCTAAGACCTGGTGTCCTTACTTGTGACATGGAAATCATAACAGTAAGTGAGAATATTCATATAATGTGACTTTCATGGTGCCTGAGGCACAGTAAGAATTCAGTTAAAAGTTAGGCCGTATTTCTACTTGCTGTCTGACCATTTCTAATGGCCAGAGCAGGTAGAATTATCCCCACCCTGTGGATGAGGACATTGGAGGCCTGAGAAACTTTTAAGTCGTTTAACATTTTATTTATTTATTGCACTCTCAGCTGTGGGCCTAACATGAATGGACCTGCTGGCGCTATAGCACAGAACAAGTCGGAAGATCACTTATGTGATGGGAGTGACCTTTCTACTGAGGGACTCAGAAGATAATCAAGTAACAGTTACCTAAATAAGGAAATTTCAGATAGCAATCAGTGCAGTGAAGACAATGAAATAACATAATGAGATTGAGAGTGATGAGAAGGGGTAGTAAAGTAAGGCCCTTCTGAACAGGTGACAGTTGAGTTCAGACCTGGACGATGATAAGGAGCTACCTGTTCAATGACAATTCCAGGCCGAGCAAAGGCCCAGGGGAAGGAAAAAGCTAGAAATGATTGAGTAACAGAAAGGAGGCCAGTGTGTTCCTAACATAGTGAAAAGTGGTAGGAAACGGGGTCAGAACAGGTAACAAAGACCTGATAATACAGAGCCTTTTAAGCCATGTCCACGGGTTTGGATTTTATTCTAAAAGTAATAGGAAGCTCTTGGAATGTTTGACGTATATAAGTGATACGATCTGACTCACATTTTTAAAAACGTATTGGTTACTTTGTGGAGAATGGATTAAAGGTAGGGGAAGAATGGAAGTAGAACAGTTAGGAAGCATTGCAGTAGTCCACATGAGTGATGATGGTCACCTTGAGTGAGTAATTGATTAACTTGTGGTCACAGGGCCAGAAAATTGCAGAACCAATAAAATCTAAATACCTTCTGACTTCTTTCTTTACCCTGGCATGCTGTCTCAAAAATTTCAGATCTCCATGATTCTACAGATTTATTCATATTGTGTTATGACAATATTTGAAAATCTTTTTCATCTGCATGCATCTTGGTTCTTGTAGAAGATTCTGAGCTCTTCTAGGATGAGATTTCTCATAGTTTAATTTTCTTACGGCACAGACTGAAATCCCTGACACCAACAATACATTTCCTCTCATCATTCTTTTTCTCCAAGCACCCCTTCCTTGTAGCAGTATGAATATATATCAGTAATACAGTCTTTGTCTTAGACTCTAGTATTTTATTTTTTGTATAATAACTGCAAAAGGAAACTCGTGTACAATAATATTGATAGCAATGAAGTGGTGTTGGTCTTTGTAGCTTTCTACTTTATTAAAAGAAAATATGCATCATATCTGATCTTAGGACGATAATGTGAAATGACAGTTCGTGTTTATGAAATACTTTTGTATGACAAGTAAAATATTTTGGTTTTTTTTTTGCTTATATTGTAAATGAAATGTATAGAACATCATTTACTTCAATGTCCAATTAACAAACAGTAAACAATTAAAACATTTCTACAACATAATGGTACTCAAATTTCTTGTATACCCTTCACCAACATTAGAGAATGATAAAGATTCTTCAACCTTTATCATTTCTACATCATTTGAGAATAGATTTTAGACTTGATGTTTTAGAACTGTATACTTACTTATTTCTTATTATGAAGACACTCTTTCCAAACCACAAAGCAGGCATCAAAATCAACAAGTTAATATTTATCCAGTATTAAATATTTATTCAGTATTACCATATATAGTCAGCTTGGACTACCAATAGCAAAATATCACAGACCAGTTGCTTAAACAACAGAAATATTTATTTCTCACAGTTCTAAAGGCTGGAAAGTTCAAGACCAAGGTATCAACGGATTCACTTCCTGGTGAGGGGTCCCCCTGGTTTGCAGACATCTGCCATCTTGCTGTGTCCTTACATAGATTGGATTGAATTAGCTCTCTTATAAGGACACCAATCCTATGAGATCATGTTCCCATCCTGATAACTTCATTCAACTGTAATTACTTCCCAATCCAAATACAGCTACATTGGGGGTTAGGGCTTCAACATATGGATTCTGGGGGATATACACTAAGTTCTTTACACCATGTTATTCATGGACTCTACTTAAATTACCCCATTTATCCCAATCATTTCCAATTTAGATCTAGGATCTAATCCAGGATTACTCTTTGTTTTTAGTTATCATGCTTCTTCAGTCTTTTTCAATCTGGAATAGTTGCCAGTCTTTTCTTGTTTTTCATATATGTATATAATGTAATATATATATTAAAGAGACAAGATCTTGCTGGGCTGCTCAGGCTGGTTTCAGATTCCTGGCCTTAAGCAATCTTGGTCTCCCAAAGTGCTGGGATTACAGGTATGAGGAATAGCACCCAGCCTTATCTTTCATGACTTTGACATTTTTGAGGACTACGGGTTGGTTACATGATTAAGTGTTCCTCAGTATAGGTTTGTCTGATGTTTCCTCATATTTGTGACCCCTTGACAGGAACATCGTAGAAGAGATGCTGTACTTCAATCAGTGAATCCTCTTAGGTGTCACGTGATCTCGATTTAGTCTATGGCTTCATGATGTTAACTTCTATTTCTTTAAGATTGTATCTGCCAGGTTTCTCTGTTATAAGGTGAATTAGTGCATATGTCACACTCATAAATTAATAGGCAAGGTATGTTTTGTGGAGAGAAGCTTTGTGTTTTGTAAGGAGAAGCTTTGAGACTATAAATTCTATTTCTCATCATACATTCTCCTACCAGATTTAGCATGCGTTGATGATGCTTGTTTGAATCTGTTATTACTGTGATGGATACCAAATGATAATTTTCTAATGTTATCAATCCTTCTAGGTTTATTAGTTGGCATTTTACTGTAGGGTAGAGTTTTCCCTGCTATACCATATATTTCTTGTTTATTTGTTTATGTCAGTATAGACTCATGAGTTCTTATTTTAATCAAGGGTTAACATTTACTATTATTATTTATTTATTCATTTATTTTTTGAGATGAAGTCTCGCCCTGTTGCTCAGGCTGGAGTGCAGTGACGCGATCTTGGCTTACTGAACTTTCACCTCCTGGGTTCAAGCGATTATCCTGCCTCATCCTCCTTCGTACCTGGGATTACAGGCAGGCGCCAACACGCCTAGCTAATTTTTGTATTTTTAGTAGAGACGGGGTTTCACCATGTAGGTCAGGCTGGTCTTGAACTTCTGACCTTGTGATTCACCTGCCTCGGCCTCCCAAAGTGCTGGGGTTACAAGTGTGAGCCACGGCTCCTAGCCTGTTGCTATTATTTTTAAATTCTGATTTCAGATTTTCCTAGACTTTGCCAATAGAAGCCCCCTTTTGACATGCTTTTATCATTCTTTGATCACTTCCTTATTTTTTTGAGACGACAACATGTGCCATGCTTATCTTGTATTTTCCTGACCTACCTTGGAATCGGCCATTTCTGCCAGGAATTTTGGTTTCTTTAGTGGAAAGTTGCATATAGGAACAAACTCTGAGCACTAGCAGTGTTCATTAATAGCCCTTTTCAGCAGAGAGAACCTAGAGAATGTGGGTGTATAAGCAAATGTGCATATGTGTGTTCAACAGCAGGAAATCTGGCTACCTTTATCGTCAATGTTTAGACTTAACTTGCTCAATCCCCCCATATGTAAGCAGATTACTGTGGCTAAAACCTTGGCCCCAGACATGGGAGTTCATCCTCCCTGGTCTGTCAGCCCAAAGCTAGATATTGAGTATGCTGCCACTATTACCATCTAAAAACTCAGCAAGACAAAAGTGGTAAGGAAGAAGGAAAGAGAAAAGTGTAGTTAGGAATTTCAGCTCCAGACATTTTAGAAGGGATAGGAGGAAGGAGGAAAGGCCAGTTAGGAAGTTTGGTTCTAGACACATAGGCCTTTTCCCCTACTCTTTTCCCAAGCTCAGCCCATGAAGAAGGCAAGCAGGCTTAGAATGATGAGTTAACTTGTCCAAGCCTGATCAGTTGGGTAGTGGCAGAGCTGGTGTTTAAGCCTGGATTTTTTTCTGACTCCTTACAACTTGCTGTTTTTAACTGCATCTTGTAGAAAGCAGCTTTGCAGTGGATGAAAACAAAACTACAATAAAAACACAGAAACTTTTCTTTTTTGTATCAGGAAATATTTCTTTACTTTTGTCTTCAATAAAGTCATCATTAACATGGTTAGATGCCTATTTGTAACATGACACATTTGAAGTTATTTCTAAGCTAGAACAAACAGTTTAGACAGAGTTGAGCATAGGATTGGGGTCAGAGACCGAGGTTGTAACCCAGGTACAAGCAGTTCTTACGATAATGAAAGGTCTGTCAATATGCATAGATACAATAACAGTACAACACTAGGAGATGCTGATTTTTTATTTATTTTTTCTCTAAAGCTTTAAATGAATGCATAAGCCTGGGCTGCAATTCTTGTGAGTCTGAGTATGCTTGTAATAATGCATAAATCATTATGATAACTAATACTTAAATAATTAGTTTTACCATGAATGGAATGAGAGCTCCTCAGGGCAGGGAGGGCTAGTCCAACCGTATTTTGTAGGTAGAGGTTTTGGTTACACATTTAAAATATCAAGAGCTGGACTGACATTTCAGACTTGACATCTTTACTTTGCAATATTATTCTTCAGCAATAAACAATTAAACCTTGTAAACTTTCTGGTTAACTATAACAGTGTCCAATTTTATATATTAGGTACAATAAGTTATTTTTCATATAAACCATTTTGATATTGACATTAGGTTTTCTTATCTGATTATTGATTTTTAGGCTTTCTATGGATTGTAAAGATGTACTATTTTAAATTTTGGTATTTTTAATGCGTAATATAAGTTAAGGAAATTGCAACTTCAGTCTTAATATGGTGGTAGTCACAGAAGTGTATTTTCTAGTGGTTTTCTTAATAAAGCTCCAGAATCCATTTAGCAATGTGAAATACCTAACAATAATTTTAACAATATTAACAA